CCAGGGTATAATTGTTGCGCTTGCTGGGCTTCCCGTGACTTTGCTTTCATTCCCACTCCCGTACCCCTGCGAACATTCACCCAGGAGGTCATCGACGAAACGATAGCGGTAATTCGGAGCAGTACAATCAGCGGGTCTGACAACGTCCGCATGATTATGTCTCAGCATTCATTCACTTTTGTCGATGCGTTTCAATTTAAATAAAAATAGTAAAAACAAAGAAAGGGGCTCGGTAGCCGATACCTGAATCGCGAATTTGGCCCAGCTCACACAGATTGCCTAATTACCAAATGTACTATACCTGATAAATTTTTTGGGTTTTATGTTTCACACCTATGAGGCAGTTGACGTCTAACCCTTTCACGTACACCTCTCATTCAAAATTCAAACATGCCGAAAGTCCAGTAAGTAGAAGGGTCAGTACTGAACTAGTTAGTTCTGAATGAGTTAGTATTCTCATTACTGTTTTCGAAATTACCGCCCGGCAAAAATCAATACAATGGAGGACTCTTCCTACACAGTTTGTCGGAGAAGACAAACATCAGGACATTAATCCACTGATGTGCAATAAAGGCTGCCTATGGCCAGGGCTATTGCAGAGGGTGGCGCAAGGCTATCGTTAAAGTTCTGAGTATATTTTCTCGAACAATTGACAAACAGTGATCCATTATTTTACTTAAACCAATATAAAAAGCAGGGTATATGTCTGATCGGTTAAGTGTGAATGTGACTTACTAACCGCAAACTTAATAGCATTTGATTGATGGCACAAAGTTATCAAGACTTTGCTCTTTCGAAGTCAATCGCAGCGTCCTAATGGTCCGTATTGCTTCACTCTTCCAGCTACTTACTGCAGGCGTTCTCTCCAATTGGGATGTTTCTGTATAATCAAAACAAGTGCTCGTCTCCATTCACCTTTGAGACTAAGGCACACGTAAGAAAAGGAAAGAGAAATAAGGAACTTCTCGTTTCGCAAAAGTTTTTTTCTCGTCTCGCCTTCAATGTGTACCTTTTTTTACTACTGGCCTACTTAGGTTCGAGGTGTATTCGAATAGCGCATGATGAGTCTCGGTAATATTACTTTAACTGATTCTACGCACATTTTCGTACGGCTTCAAACATAAAATGTCTGTCTCCGCCTCAACGCCGTTTCAAAAAGCAACGTATATTTATCTTAACGATCGTTTTCCTTGCGGTTTTCAACTTTGCCTGAGTTATTTTTCCGGATAGCTTAGTTCGTCACAACGCCACCCTTGCGGCACAGCTGCAAAAATGTTTTGAAGAAATTGGCTTATGAAACGTGATTTATTGACCTGGAATTTTTTACAGCCATCCATGGCAGTAAAAGGCACGAATTACCAGTTCCAGTTAACGATAATATAGTTTCTAGCTGACGCACAGCCTATTTATACGCAAGTTTATACCTCAGGCCATCTAGCAGTAATCTGTGTTGTATTTACAAGTATTGAATCTAGACACGCACTTTATTAGCTGTCACCTGATCACAGCGAATCGGATCCATCTGATTACTTCGGTAGGCTAGAAATTATTGGAGCCGCTACACAGAGGCGCATCTGTTAATCGAACGCATTTTTTTGTACAGTCATCGATGGTACACTCATCGAAAACACCCCATTACACCTAAAGCACGTGAAATCGGCCAAAGTCAACTCCATCTTGCGTCGTATTCAGGACGCAATGCTCATAGACCAAGTTACGCGCGTACGTAAGCTGTCACTTAGGACGTTTTTTATAGGGTGCATATTTACTCGAACTGTCGGCTGCAATCGATAGACTTTGTTTCCTGGCTAAATATAGCAGCGTTCGCTGGGCATGAAGTACAACGCCTACAATTGTATTTCCTCGTAATCTTCCATAATTTCGAAAATATGAGGTGACAACAGATAGCTTTAATTAGATTTAAGTTATCATCAACTCCTAAGCCCTATAGATTCCAAAAAATTCCGCGTTAGCGTATCCAAGTCGCCACCGAGCCTAGGTTCAACTGAAGTTACGTCGCTGTAGAGCGCAGGTGTTACTAGAGCCAGTCCCTAGCTGAATTGAGTTGGAAGTGGTGATTTTAGCATAAACAAATGCTACTAGTTGATGAACATTGTCGCTACATACTACAGTGAGTGATCTTCCTAGCTGATTTCGAAACGGTGCTTTAGACCATATCAGCTTTTACGAAACCATTACTTTTCTCCTCTTTCTAAAATGCAGGCATTTTGGTTAACTGGTAAAAAACATTAAATAGGTAGAAATGTTTTTATTTGAAGTTCGAGTATTACTGCGTCCGACTTAAGGGGAGCGACAATAGCATGCTTTTCGACAATTAACTATTGTATTACGAAGTAGTATGAATTACCTGGAATCATGTAAAGGGAAAATATACGACCCATCTGTCATGTAGATGCTGGGTTATTTTTAATTCAATATTTGTTTGAACATGTAACTAGTTATTAAACGCACTGTCTGTCTAGGAAGTTTTTGGGTAAACAGGCGTCTTTAGTCGTACATGTGGAGGCGCGAAATCAATGGCTAAGTGATTGTTTTACAGGTCGAAGTGTTCGGGCACAGTATTGTATATTGTGAGGGGAGCGGGGATGAAGTTTGAGATCCTAGGTAACATCTCCGCTTTAGACGATGTACGTGTTATTTGTATATGAAAAAATGCCTTAAGGAAAACCTACCTAGCGAAAGCACAACTTTCTTCAGGCGTTGTCACCCCACAGTCGTCTGTTAACAATTAACAAATCTATAAAAGTTTAAATACGACCCCATTGGGGTCTAAAACGGATGTAGAAAGAGAACATGAAAAAGAAAGAGAGTGAACTTTTTTTCTATTTATGCGAAGCTTGTCAAATCTATAAGGACAATACTCCATGCCTAGGGTCGTTTGCCAAATTCATGGGACCTACATGGTTTGAAGCTGGAAGCCTTTATCTGGCCGCATTATCTGGCTGAAAAACTACAAATCCTAGAAATTGTGTTGCGCTTTTAGACTTACGCATAATCTATCTTTCATTGTTCGACTTAAGGGGTAAGCAGGCAGATTTGAAAACGATAATCTGATGCAACGATTTACCTGGTTAGTATGCACCCAGATACAAATGCTATTAGATAACTTGTGAAACTGTTAACTTGAAGAGGTAAATTATTGGAAAAAGATTGCCAATGGACTTAATACTTATATTGTCAGTATTAATTTCAGTTGTAATTATTGAACTATATAGGGTCTTACCAGACAAAAACGATTTACCAATACGAGTCCACGAGACTTGCCCATTCGATACAACAGTCTCAAAGCAGGCCTACGTACTTTCAATTTAAGTTAAACTTTTAGGATTGAATTAGAATAGAATGGACACGGAAACTTAGCCTCTCCTTAGTATATCTTCCCACGAACATGTAAACATTCAGTATTATACTGCTTCATTCTGCAAGTAGGTAAATGGAAAGAAAAAATCTTTTTTCAGGACCGTTTGGTACTCTGTTTAATTAATGCTGCTACTGTTTAGCCTAATTTAGTATTTGCGTATATCCGCTTATGGCTCCACTCCTTGCGTTGTTTTACCTCTTCAGAGAATGTTCATCTTAACATAAAAACAGCCATAAGTTAATGAAGGATTGATGTACCGAATACGGTGTATGAATAAGCAATTCAAACTTTGATTGTAATTAATTGGCATGTGGGAGGAAAAGTTGCTCAGATGGAGCTGTTTATGTTCCAGCCTCAATGGAAGGCACCTTCCATTACTAAGATCCTTTAGGTGGCCCGGGGAAGTAGTAATGAACGTATTATACGAATTTCAAAAAAAACGGTCGTCGATATCTTTTTGGCTGACAGAATCAAGCAGTTGGCCTTCATGAGTAAAGTATGAAACTGCGATCATACGATGACGTCAAACTCTCTTCGATTTTACTGCGTGGTCCTACTGGCTTTGTTGCGGCGTCATTCGGACGCCAATTTTCATCCGCCCTGAGCTGTCACAGCAGTTGTTTATCATTAAATCTATAGGCGAAAACGCAAGGTTAGATTGCGTCGAGGTTGTCCTATACGTCTCTGTGACCCGACACATCTTGTCGGTTACCTTGGACTAGCAGTGTAATAGCTTTTGCTTCAGAATTGCCTTAATTGGAATATTCTATTCGGTCGAACGTGTTCGGAAAGCCAGCGATAGGCCATTAAATTTTACGGAAAGGAGCCGTTTGCTGACGGAACCAACTGCTATGTTCGTATCCTATCATCGAAAATATCTGAAGTAAAAGCTTCGCTGACGACACGAGTCTCTCTTTTGTTCATGCTGTAAGGCATACGTCGTCTCTTGTTTGCTGTCCAATCTGAACGAAGCCTCGATGGGTGCGTGTCTCCTAAAAGACAGATCTGTTCAATTAAATGACCAGATCGCTCTATAGTACATTCGATTTCTCTATTTAACCACCCTTATATATATATATATATAAGGGTGGTTATATATATGTGTACAGACTTGTCGCCGCAAGAGTTTTTGAAAAAGGTTGGCTTTTTGTTTCTATAATAGTAGCGTCAAAAACCGAGAGAACAGAACGGTAATTTCACGTGTTCCTAATGAACTAGTCAAGATGGCGACAGTTTGACATTTTTTGAAGGCTATTAATTTAACACGAACTGGGTTGGCTAAAGTACTTACTGGGCCAAGTAAAAGCATTGAAAATATGAAGCGGTTAGATACTCTTGGCAAAAGCAATTCATGATCGAGACATTTAGACGTTGTATATTATGAATGAGGTGGATAATTTCGATCTACATGTATGTTGTTAAGAAATTTATCGTGTAGCATGCTGTCCAAAGGCTAGAAAAACAGCATTCAAAGGATCTGACGGAACTTTTCAACAAAGATTATGGAAATAGTAATCCCAACTTACATAAAATGCTAAATTTTATTATTATTTGCAGATTAATACTACGCTACATGTATGGATGAAACAAGGAGTGTACATTATTGTTGGTAGTCTCAATTTTGAGGACCGGACGTGCGTTAAATCACATATGACGGGGGGATCGCTTCGACGTCGAAATCTCCGTGCAAAAGGTACGAAAAAACGTGGGGCAGAAACGGTTATACGTCTCGTTCATGTATGACTCACCATGTGAACTACCAGATTTTATCTAAACAGTTGCATAAGCACCTAGCGCAGGAACGGATGGCACCGCTTAGGCAGCAAATCGTATGTCGGCAAATAACGTTATAAATGGATGATCCACTGCTAATGTGTTAGCTCGATTCAAACGTTTACGTTATGACTAATGATAAAGGCGACGCACTATTCGCAACAGCCGGCAGGCAGTGTCCTGTCATTGAGGATTGAACTCGTCGAGGCTTCTTACAGAAGTTGTTGTTCCAAAGTTCAATGTTTACGATGGTATCGTACATTCTTCAAAACTTTTTACTCCGTCTTTCAGAATGGGTTAAGTCGACTGGGTCTGCAACTGTCACCTCGTGCCTCTAGTACCCACGGAAAGTCCGGACGGAAAGAGTCATTAGCACAGTGGCTAAGACATGAGGCTCTAAACATGCTAATCTTCTGCTGATTGCAACAATCAGGCCAATTCTAAGGATTACATGATGTGTGCTATACGAAGAGCTCGGTGTTCTGTCCTATGAGATTCGCCTAACCCGGAATTTCAAAGATGTAAAGCGGCGTACGAACAACTTAGGGCGATTGTAGTACGGGGATCCTGGGCAAAAGATGTTACTAGACCTTTTAACTCGGTGTCAGAGGAGTTTCTCTGGGAAAAACTGGATAAGCCTGCTTCGGACGAGATGACACCACTCGCCTCTGCGTATTCATAAATGTTAGAAAAATTTGGTAAATGCATAGTGTTTCGTTGGACGCCGACAAGATGGCCGGCCCAGTTGAACATACTAATTAACGACACTCCTCTGGGCGAAAAATAGGAAAAAAGAAAAAAGTTCACAATCGGCATTCGACTAAACTGTGTTCGACAAAAAATGTTGCTACTTGCGCCCGAATTTTCTAAACAACTTCTCCAGGATTACACGCTACGTTTTGACTTTGAAGATAAATCTCTAGACGATTTTCCATAACGTCTGAACGGTAATGACAGATAGCATTACCGTCGTACACGAAATGATTTTCGCTGTTGTACATATTCGGTAAACTGCTGTTGGTTTCACAGTTTAAAATTGAAGCATCTGGATTAAATAACATACCTATTTATTTAGATTACACCATTCGTTTCGAAGTTTTTCTGAGGCCAGTTAGGCTGCGCTACTTCGCGAACCCTTCGTAGGTTTTTTTGCAATTCTAAATCGACATCTTGCCGACATATGCTTAACCTCACTGGTATTGGGTAAAACACACTCTACTTTCAATATCCGCGTGATTACCACAGCCTTCTACTAATTGGCCTCCACGAAATAGGCTCGATGGGCTGTTTACCTAATCCGGTATGAAAGCACGATCGGTAAAATGGGTTATAAATTTTCTCTCGTAAGTTATACAGTCACTCTTGATTACTATCATTAGTTTCTTCCACGCGCGATCAAGTTTTGCCTGTGGCTTTCCACTCCATAGACACTTAACCAGCTATAGCTGAATTTAGTAAGCTTCGTATCTGTAGTTCTTTTCAGTGCAATTTATACCGAGAAAACTTGGCAACTGTTTGTCCTATAGCTATATGTATCAGCTGAAAAAAACCTTGCTGCCCTTTGTCCATAACTGTAGAACATTTCAGCCGTAAGTAACCTCGTCAATCAAGGACAGAGAATTATTGTGAAAGATTTTCCACCTGCTAGTCGAATCGCTAGGTTAGCCTATCAATGGGATCTCCTGCCGTCCACATCCGAGTCCTACCATTAGCATCAGGTTATTCACTACATGCCCAGTATTCCGCATTTCTACGCGCGCACGCGCCCGTTTCTCCCCCTGCTTGTTCCTAGGTTAGGACGAGCTATTGCTTTATAGTAATAGTGAAATGAAGAGCAGTGGTCTCTTGCCCTTACGTATGCTGTGAAGACGTTATTTTTAGATGAAACTTGCTTAAGAAAGAGAAAGTAAAACATTTTATATGGTAGTATTTCCACGTCGTATGGCATTTACCAGAAAATGAAAAAAGTCAGGGTCTGGGCGTCCGTATTGGTTTGAATGCATACGAGCGATGGAGTAACTAGTCGAGGGGGTAGAGCGGTAGCTCCGTTAAAAGCGTAAGTGCGAAAGTGTCTATAGACGAAGGTGGCGGCGCAAGGAGCTGATGAGAGCCGGGAAGAATAATAATAATATGCAGCAGTTCTCAAGCCAACTCGGGCTTGCGCCCCGGGCATGAGTTGCAAATCCTCTTTTATCCGTATAATCGTAAGAGCCCTTTTCAACAAACTGTGTACACCCACCGGGTGAGAACCAAAACAAGCCTGCTACCGGCCTACAGTCATCAACAAAAACTTCGTTTAAGTAGCAGCCGTTTAGAACTAGTTTTGCTATCTATATTGTTTGACTCTTACAAGTAAAAATTAACTATCCTATTTTTAACAGTACAGTGGCCCTTAAACCTGTAAACATTGTATATTTATATCTTAACTTTGAAATGGAATTCAGACAACCCAATATTTGAACGATTTTTGGGGGTTTATTTTTCTCACAGACATTTTTCAATGATAAAATAAACTAATCACTAGTTCCGAACACTTTCTTGATCCACAGTACCTCAGTTGCCTAGCGGTTAGGTAGGCTTGTTGCTGGCTATCTGTACGCCTCTATCAGAAGGAGGATACCTGAGAAGTAAAACCACCGTCGGCCGTGAAGCGAGCACTCTACTATTTCATATTGTCTCATCTTACCCCCAGCAGCTGACACAGACTACAAGCCAAATCTCTGTGGCATACAGCGTCTGAGGAGCGTGCCAGTTTGGCAACGATTTGAGCAAACTTGGTTGACGGCTTCCAACAGGACAGGAACGAACTCCGTCACAAAAGTAGATATTCTAGAAATAGGCCACAGAGCCAGCCATGGCCTATAATTTGTGAGGGCAAATATGGGACGAGCAAATTGTGTCACCTGAGACCACCACCACAATGACGGTAGCACCAACGATGTTCGTTGATGGCTTTTCCCGCTAAATATAATCTTCTTTGGTTTTTTTTTTTATTCTAAAAACAAACCAACCGCTGATTGTACCGGTGTCATCGTTCCGTGCAATGAAGTTGTTCCGACCTAGAAGAACTGGTTACATCAGGAGATGGTTTTACGTTTGTAGGTATACGTAAGGTAACCTTTTCCTATTGAAGTTAACTGCCGAGTAAGAGACGGGTAACCGAAAGCGGCAGTGTGGCAGAAAACTAGGATGAAACCCATCATGTTCAGGCCGTATTTTCGAAATTTAGTCGGATGCAAAAGACAAAGTAGGCCGAAACAGCTGTTTTTCAAGAGCTGTAGTACATAGTGTGGGGTTTATACATTATATAGTAGGAGTACATAATAGTTAAAACAATATTAGCAAGAGCTCTTAATTTAATGAAGAAGCTTAAATTAAAAGAATACTTTCTAGATTTTCAACTATGAGCGGCATCTCTAAAGCTAGAAATACGTATAGGTCCATACAGTAAGTTCATCTGGGTGGAGCGTGATATCGTTTGTATTGAAAGCTGTTCCTTCATACATGGCTACTTGTTGGCAATCCGCGATGTTATTCTGGTTATAGTTTCAGCTTGTATATGGTAAGTGAACTTCACTTTATATTTTTCAGGTTCTTACGTGTAGATTAAGTTGTTTGCACTCGTGATGACCGAAAAATATATGGTGGACCATGCTTTCTAGTGTCAACTTATTGCTCCAACGTTTTTTTTGTCCCAGGTTTATATCAAGTTAATATATTTCACATCAGAGTGCTCGGAATCAAGTGCTAACCGAACACTGCAAATATCGTATGATATCTGTGTAAGGTCTTCAGACCCTTAACTCACCCAATAAAGCCCATTATGGACGTTGCATATATTAATTTTAGGGAAACATATCGCTCTCCGTACTCTTTGTATGTGCCTCTTTAGCACTCTAACTTATTTTTATTGGTTGACCCTCAGCCTTATATGACTCATAACTTGCGATTGTGAAGTTCCTTTGGGCACTACCACGAAAGTTGTAAGGAACACATGCTGATCCCCGTAACCACGCAGGCTCCATATAGTCCATCGTGCTTTGTATCATTTTATCCCTACTGTGAAGACTGTCTTGCTAGGAAGATCTTTAAAATGTGGCTCATATACTAACCTTACTAGCAATTTAGGTATCACCTACCGTATTCCGTGCTTCGAATTGCGATGTTCTAATTATGATAGCGATGATGTTTGTTATTATTATTTTAGTTTATTAATACATTACAATTATGTTGTGTAAATGAGTTACTTAACTCATATCAGTGTTATCTTCCTTTCAATATAGACACCCCTCTGCAAGATGGTGGCGGTGACAGGTAGCTAATTTTTCCTTCCTGCCTATCTCTCGTATTAGATCCCGTGCGCCTTGACCTCCGTAATATACGTCTCAGGTCAATTATAAATAGCTCGTCCCCTTCCCTTTTCCCCCCAAAATCGCTTCCGTTGCAATTCGATTGACCATTATCTATTCGTATCTTCTTCCACCTTCGCACCCTTTTCAAGTCCGCGTGCCCGACTATGCGAGTACAAGGCCTACGATAAGGCCGATATACATAAAGCAGTTACATCCTATGCGGAGTATCTGTTTTAAAAATATAATGCTGTGCTTTGGTTTTCTTCCCGATTTTCTCTCCTCAACTTGTGCCTAACCACGGGGTTTGCTCTAACATTCTCTAAACAACCGCAATAGCACTGCATCTTTTACTCAGACTCTTAGGGGAGCTGAAAAGATCTTAATCGTCGTTGTCCACGGCAGCGTTAGAGGTAGTTTCTCCCATATTCTAACAACAAAGCCATGCGAAATATGTTGCGGGACGGCCTAGTGCCAGGTAGTAGCAAGAGGTACTAAAAGGATCGCGTACAATTTTAAACACTCGATTTATTAAGGACAACTGAGTCGAGAGAAGATGCCGTTTGTTGTA